CAACCACTGTCGGGAACACCTCTCAATAAGGACCACCACTGTCGGGAACACCTCTCAATAAGGACCACCACTGTCGGGAACACCTCTCAATAAGGACAACCACTGTCGGAGACACCTCTCAATAAGGACAACCACTGTCGGGAACACCTCTCAATAAGGACAACCACTGTCGGAGACACCTCTCAATAAGGACAACCACTGTCGGGAACACCTCTCAATAAGGACAACCACTGTCGGAGACACCTCTCAATAAGGACAACCACTGTCGGGAACACCTCTCAATAAGGACAACCACTGTCGGAGACACCTCTCAATAAGGACAACCACTCTCGGGAACACCTCTCAATAAGGACAACCACTGTCGGGAACACCTCTCAACAAGGACAACCACTGTCGGGAACACCTCTCAACAAGGACAACCACTGTCGGGAACACCTCTCAACAAGGACCACCACTGTCGGGAACACCTCTCAACAAGGACCACCACTGTCGGGAACACCTCTCAACAAGGACCATCACTGTCGGGAACACCTCTCAACAAGGACCATCACTGTCGGGAACACCTCTCAATAAGGACCATCACTGTCGGGAACACCTCTCAACAAGGACCACCACTGTCGGGAACACCTCTCAATAAGGACAACCACTGTCGGGAACACCTCTCAATAAGGAAAACCACTGTCGGGAACACCTCTCAATAAGGACAACCACTGTCGGGAACACCTCTCAACAAGGACAACCACTGTCGGGAACACCTCTCAATAAGGACAACCACTGTCGGGAACACCTCTCAATAAGGACAACCACTGTCGGGAACACCTCTCAATAAGGACCACCACTGTCGGGAACACCTCTCAATAAGGACCACCACTGTCGGGAACACCTCTCAATAAGGACCACCACTGTCGGGAACACCTCTCAATAAGGACCACCACTGTCGGGAACACCTCTCAATAAGGACCACCACTCTCGGGAACACCTCTCAATAAGGACAACCACTCTCGGGAACACCTCTCAATAAGGACAACCACTCTCGGGAACACCTCTCAATAAGGACAACCACTGTCGGGAACACCTCTCAATAAGGACAACCACTCTCGGGAACACCTCTCAATAAGGACAACCACTGTCGGAGACACCTCTCAATAAGGACAACCACTGTCGGGAACACCTCTCAATAAGGACAACCACTGTCGGAGACACCTCTCAATAAGGACCACCACTGTCGGGAACACCTCTCAATAAGGACCACCACTGTCGGGAACACCTCTCAATAAGGACCACCACTGTCGGGAACACCTCTCAATAAGGACCACCACTCTCGGGAACACCTCTCAATAAGGACAACCACTCTCGGGAACACCTCTCAATAAGGACAACCACTCTCGGGAACACCTCTCAATAAGGACAACCACTGTCGGGAACACCTCTCAATAAGGACAACCACTCTCGGGAACACCTCTCAATAAGGACAACCACTGTCGGAGACACCTCTCAATAAGGACAACCACTGTCGGGAACACCTCTCAATAAGGACAACCACTGTCGGAGACACCTCTCAATAAGGACAACCACTGTCGGGAACACCTCTCAATAAGGACAACCACTGTCGGAGACACCTCTCAATAAGGACAACCACTGTCGGGAACACCTCTCAATAAGGACAACCACTGTCGGAGACACCTCTCAATAAGGACAACCACTCTCGGGAACACCTCTCAATAAGGACAACCACTGTCGGGAACACCTCTCAACAAGGACAACCACTGTCGGGAACACCTCTCAATAAGGACAACCACTGTCGGGAACACCTCTCAATAAGGACAACCACTGTCGGGAACACCTCTCAATAAGGACCACCACTGTCGGGAACACCTCTCAATAAGGACCACCACTGTCGGGAACACCTCTCAATAAGGACAACCACTGTCGGAGACACCTCTCAATAAGGACAACCACTGTCGGGAACACCTCTCAATAAGGACAACCACTGTCGGAGACACCTCTCAATAAGGACAACCACTGTCGGGAACACCTCTCAATAAGGACAACCACTGTCGGAGACACCTCTCAATAAGGACAACCACTGTCGGGAACACCTCTCAATAAGGACAACCACTGTCGGAGACACCTCTCAATAAGGACAACCACTCTCGGGAACACCTCTCAATAAGGACAACCACTGTCGGGAACATCTCTCAACAAGGACAACCACTGTCGGGAACACCTCTCAACAAGGACAACCACTGTCGGGAACACCTCTCAACAAGGACCACCACTGTCGGGAACACCTCTCAACAAGGACCACCACTGTCGGGAACACCTCTCAACAAGGACCATCACTGTCGGGAACACCTCTCAACAAGGACCATCACTGTCGGGAACACCTCTCAATAAGGACCATCACTGTCGGGAACATCTCTCAACAAGGACCACCGATGTAGAAATACCTTTTTTGTCTGTGCATATACATGTACATGCATGCGGTTTTCGTCGTCCAGCGTAGCAAGCCACGTTCATTTCTGAGAATTGGGAGGGGGGGGGGGAGGGGGGGGGGGGAGGAGGGGGCCAGAGTACGAAATGAATGATATTCGCTTCAGGGACGACAGACAACTTCTGCGACAACCCTTTAGAGTATTAGCCATGGTTGGCTAAATAAACCCTGCAATCGCTACGCAAAGTGGTCATTGGCTACCCCAGCCATGCATGGCTTGGAATAAAATAAAAATAAATAAATAGACAATGGCGTTAATGAGATTCCGTACCTTGGTGAAATGTTGACCTCGAGAACGTACGGCTTCAGCTGGTCCGTCAGGAATATGTCAAACCCAAACAGCTCATGGACGCAAGATCTGGCATGGCATAGTGTGGGAATACAGATACGCGTGGACACACGTGTATTCGAATGCACGTGCATGGACCGTGCAGTTGCATGCATACACAAAGACACACAGACACACGCACGCACGCGCACACACACGCACGCGTGCGCGCACACACACACACACACACACACACACACACAGGAATCTCACCTCACACACAATAGGAAAAATGACACAGTCACGCATGGCACTGTTCAATGTCAGCAAATATGATTAAAAACATTTTCATGATCTGCTTAACGGGCACTCTGCTGACTTACCGTCTTCTCACATTAGCCTTGATCTTGCTGTTGACTGTACTCTCTGATCTACACACGCACATACGCACACACACACACACACACACACATACACACATACACACACACACACACACACACACAAACACACACACACACACACAACATCAATATGATGAACAGAACACACGCACACACGCACTCACACACGCATGCACGCACACGCACGCACACACACACACACACACACACACACACACACACACACACACAACATATTCATGCGCATGGATACTGAGTTAGTAGACGCCATCATCTTCTTCTCGCCGGTCTCGAATGTACTACGAGTCGTATGACACGCTACAGGAGCGTCGGACACGGTACGGTCACTACGGTATTGACTGTACCACTATTTGCACCAAGTACCCCGTGAATCAATAAAAAATGCACTGATCTGGGCTCAAACTTCCAAAAATGTCGGCTTAGCGACCCCTCCCCCACGAGTAAATTGTACTTCAAATGGCTGACCGTACCACACTAAAATACCTTCCGACGCCTCTGCGTGACTATTTTGCCAGACAGGACGATGACAATAACAACACCACTGGGTAAGGGGAGAAGGAGAGGAGATCAGGGAGGGCCAAGGAGGGCCAGGGAGGGCCAAGGAGGGCCAAGGAGGGCCAAGGAGGGCCAAGGAGGACCAAGGAGGACCAAGGAGGAAGGAAAGGAAGGAGAAGAGGGAAAGGAGGTTAAAGAGGGGAAGCATGGGAAGGATGGGAAGAAGGACATGGCTTCCAAAAGCCAGGGGTGTACGTGTACGGGGGGGTCGAGGGGTGCGGATGAACCCCGCTCCCCCCCCCCCCCCCTCGGCCCCCAGATTCTCGTCTCACACTGCACGTGCATACGCATAGAGTACCGCTATCGTGATCCTTTATTGCGCATATACATATTGACAGGCATGAGGGAATTCTTTTTATCCCCCCCCCCCCCCATGCCGGTATAACCCCCTCTGAAGAACCCTGCGTACGCCCCTGAAAGCATTATTGTTTTACACTCCGTGACCGAAAACTCGGTGTGGATAGAGGAGGATGAAGCTGAAGAGACAGGTGTGGATAGAGGAGGTTGGGAGAACTTGCTGTCAATCAGTAGCAGCAGGTCAAAATGCCACGAGTACATTGAATAGATTCGAATTGGCTAAGCCAGTTCAGACTGATGACACGGAAACCACTGCATGCTGCACAGGTACACAGGGGCTCTGAATGGTCACTGCATCCTTACGCAATGATGGTTTTGATGACGACATCGATGATACTGGCCCAGACGGTGTCACTGTCCTCGCCTCTCTCATCTAGATACCGCCACAGTGCTTTCAGTCCCCTGAACAACAACAACAACAACAACAACAACAACAACAACAACAACAACAACAACAACAACAACAACAACAACAACAACAACAACAACAACAACAACAACAACAACAACAACAACAACAACAACAACAACATCCATTAAGAACAACAACAAGAGCACCCATTAAGAACAAGAACATTAGCAGCAGCAGCAGCAGCAGCAGCAGCAGACAAACAGTCAGACAAACCGACAGACAAACCGACAGACAGACAGGCAGACAGACAGACAGACAGACAGACAGACAGACAAACAACACGGACGGACGGACGGACGAACGGGCGGACAGACAGACAGAGATAGACGGACAGACAGATGGACAGACATCCAGACAGACAGACAGACAAATTGACAGACAGACAGACACTGGACAGACAGGCGGAGGGACAGACAGGCGGACAGAGGGACGGACATACAGACATACAGACGGATGGACGGACAAACAAACGGGTGGACAGATGAACAGTCAGACACAGATACATGTATTGAGATTGCTTAGGTGGGGAGCGGGGGCTGGAAGAACACACATGCAAGCATACGTTCCCCATTCAACTATTAACTATGGAAAGATGACAACCATCCACACCTCAAACCAATGCAATGTCACACACTAAACTACACATACCACTTGTGTCCCTGGCACACGGTCTCATCGCTGTTTGCTGTAAACGTCGTGTTCTTCTTGTTCACGCTGTAGTTAGTGAGGTGCATGAACCGATTTGCTATGTGCTTGGACGAGTTCTTGTATCTTTGCAAACAGTTTTGAACACATGTGCATGCACACACAAACATACACACACACCCACACACCCACACACACACACACACACACACACACACACACACACACACACACACACACACACACACACACACACACACACACACACACACACAATGTGCATTATAAAATAACCATAGCAGGAGGTATTGCTATCAACCCAATACATTCTGATGACTAGCAAAGCAGGCCGTCACTCATGCCGGGATTGCTATGGCTTGCAATGCTGAATAACTAACCCACACTACTAATCTGATACCACATCAACATGTTTTTTTAAGTAGCTTTTCAGTTCAAGACACACACACACACACACACACACACACACACACACACACACACACACACACACGCACACATGCACACCATGTACCATGTACCATGTACCATGTACTCCCGTCGCAAGACAAGCACTCTGACCCGCAAATGCATCGGATGTACATGTACAATCACAGCTTTTCTCTTACAGCAACGATAATGGACAAGATCCGAATAAAACAGATCCGTGAATACACACAGACAGACAGATACACACACACACACACCTCAGACCTCAGACATGCCCATCGCGGAAGCGATGATAGCGAACAGCTATATTAGACATATCAACATGTGCTGGGATTACACCATTCAACAGCTTGCAAGGCTGATGAATTGACTGCCACTATTTTTAGCCTGACACACACACACACACACACACACACACACACACACACACACACACACACACACACACACACACACGAGTCAGCCTTACTTGCAGGTCGCAAAGCGCACAAGACCGTCCTCGTAGACGTAAATCCTCAGTGGATCATAGCTTGGTACGTACACATACACGCGTAGATCAAACTTGCTCTCATTGATCAGGTAGGGTTTGTCAAGATACCTGACGTATGAAAGCAATCATAAGGCAGCAGCAGCAAAACAAAATGGTAGACGCATTGCCTCCCTCTCATCCGAATACCGTCAGACCCCGCTCGACTATTGAACACTCACTGCATGATGAACTAAAATGAGATATCCGGTCCTATTTTATCCGGATCCCTCGCCATCCGGAAGAAAATAGCTGGTTACGGATTTACAGCATACGTGATGCATCCAACATAACCGGTGTTCGGTTATCCGGTTCCCTCGCCTATCCGGATATTTTTTTGTGAAAAACGGATGTGTGCGGTTAAGCGAGGTCTGACTGTACCGCTTCCCCCCCGAATACAAATTGCACCTTTTTCAAATTATACTAAAGTGCAACGGAAGGGGTGTGACTTACAATCGAATGTGACACCCTACCTACGTGACTACATTGACACGATATGGCTCAAACCTGAAAAAGGGGGTTATGACTTATAATCGAGTGCGACTTGCAATCGGGGAAATAACGGTAGCAAACAGCAATAAACTGAAAACAGAAAATTTGGTCCGGGTCTCGTTGGAATCTGCCAAATCTTCATTCTAAGACAGGTGCGTTGCCCACGCATCATCAGTCTTCTGTATGGAACTTCACTCTTCAGCTCCAAGAACGGTATCTTCACTGCGGATCGAATCAATTTATATTCCACCAAATTTTCTGGCTTGGCCCATCATCAGGGTTAATACGGTGATGTCGCGTATTAAAGCAGAGAGTGAGCAGAGAGTGAGCAGAGAGTGAGCAGATTAAAGCCGGGCGTATTCCTGTAGAAGCCGATGTAAGGGCTAGGCTTCTATTCACAACAGGCTTCTATTCAAACCAGGTATTTCTATGTATGTCAACACTAAAACCAGGCTTATGTACTGCCAGTGCATCTTGAGAATCAGACTTGTACTCAAAGCAGGTTTCTATACGAGACAGGCTTTAACACAAGACACTACGGTATATGTTCGATGATGTCATCTTCATTCGGTCCGTCGATTCTTAGTAGTAGAAGGTTCTTTTTGTCAACCAGACGAGACCACACGCCTTGTTGTTGTGGTGTGTGGTATGGTATGGTATGGTATTTTTATATTTTTATTCACCACTCGAAGAAGCATATCTGCCTTCTTGCCGGGATGGCCAGAGCCAACCACGGCTCCTACTAATTGATGAATATGATAATGTGAAGCAAAAGAAAAGAAAAAAATGGTACTTTGTCAGCTATATATTCCGTACTCAAAATATGGAGAGGGCAGTGTTGCTGGTGAACTGTCCGTGCTGGTGTTCGCAAGCGTCGCCTGACCTCTTCTGGTCGGAAAAAAGAACAACCTACCACTACTATAAATACATGTTCCCAAATATTTTGGTGGATTATTGATTTGATTCGCAGTGAAAAGATCGTTACTGGAGTTGATGATTGAATTTTCCTACATCATGAGTATGTGAGCGCGTTGGAGTTTGCAGACAATAAGTAAAGATCATGCACAGACCCACTAGAACCAGCGCGGTTGGTCAGGTTATTACCGGAGCAACGTTTTGGCCACCAGCACGTGTTTCCAACTGTGGAGGGCATGTGTACCCGTCACATCACACACAAAGTATCCCTGAAGATGCCCTCAGTCTTGGGCGAAAATTTGGAAGGAATTTGGAGTTTGTTTCGGAGAGATTTGGAGAGGTTTTCATTTTGTGTAGCCAAGGACTCTGTGCGGACGTGGGCGGTAGAAATTTAAAAAAAAAAGTATGAACGGCCATGATACTATCGGACCAATCAAAAACTGCTGCCTGCGGTCCTGATGCAGTCATCGTAGGACAGGCTCACCTCTGCACGACAACACTGCGTCTGCGTGGCACCTGTGCCCACTTGTTAATCAGGTGTATGCCGATACCGCGTGCTGATGCAGGCTGCACAAGAGAGAGAGATAGATAGATAGATAGATAGATAGAGAGAGAGAGAGAGGAGAGAAGAGAGAGAGAGAGACAGAGAGAGAGAGAGAGAGAGAGAGAGAGAGAGTGAGAGAGAGAGAGAGAGTGAGAGAGTGAGAGAGAGACAGAGACAGAGACAGAGAGACAGAGAGAAAGAGAGAGAGACAGAGAGAGAGACAGAGAGAGAGAGAGAGAGAGAGAGAGAGAGAGAGAGAGAGAGAGAGAGAGAGAGAGGGGGAGAGTGAGTGTGAGAGTAAGAGAGGGAGAGAGAGAGAGAGAGAGAGAGAGAGAGAGAGAGAGAGAGAGAGAGAGAGAGAGAGAGAGAGAGAGAGAGAGAGAGAGAGAGAGAGAGAGAGAGAGAGAGAGAGAGAGAGAGAGAGAGGGAGAGAGGCGAGCACCAAAACACATGACGAGAGTGAAATGCACGCAACAATCGTCTCACGACCACTGACACACAGCCGCTAGGGGTGAAACGAGTATCTATTTTGACCAATCGATCACTCGTTCATAATATTCGATCGAGTATCCGATTATTTCGAGTATTTTATCAAAATTCAAAAGGGCTAGATTTGTGAGTTCTCCACAAATTCGGGAAGAAATTATCTGTGAACATAAAACAAAAGTCGCCAACGTCTTGTACAGAGTGTAAAGTAACGATTTTCATCAGTACTTTCATATCTCAGAACGTTAACTGACGTTACTTGCCCTGGTGATTGCATCGTCCAAGTCATAAAATACTGACTCAAAGGCATGCATTACACATGTATACCAGCAAGAGTCCATAACCCCCCAGAGTGTGCAACTCGTGATCCTTCTCAGCACAAATCAGTGCCGCAACGAAATCCAAACTTCATACGTCATGTAGTGAGTAGCTATGACGAAATGGGAAGTTTGGCCCGGACCTACTTCGCCCGTTTGCCCAATTTGGGGTCTTTCTTTACGAATCCACGGCCACGTAACACGCCTGAAAGGCTCAAGTACGTTTTAACGTACTTGAGCCTTTCAGGCGTGTTACGTGAAGTACACAAAGAATTATTTTAGAGTTGTCGAACAGTTTTCTCTTTTGAGTGTCTCTCCGATAAGAGAAGAACAATGGCCACTGTTGAACCTAAAGCAAAACGCTCCCCATTGTCGCCGGAGTGCAGTGTCTCTGTGGACGATATTCGTCAGTTTTTGCTCGATCTGGGCTCCTCATTTTCTTCTCTCGATTGTCGAGTGTTGGAAATTGTACCAAAATGGGACTGAGGAGCAGGTTGAAGCACATCTACTTCGAAATCGATCGGGTCTTCATGCCGTGTGCCAAGAGCTATTTCCATCAAATCTTGTAAATCTATATCCATGCCTATTCTTGCTATCCCGGAGTCACGAATTCTCCCAATACAAGCTTTTCAGACAACGAGCAGAGAAACTCTCTTCAAATAAAAAATTCTGTGACTGTGAAATCAAAGCCGTTCTGCTGACACTGCTGTACTGCATAGCCCGTGGAGCAAACGTTTTACGTGACACTTCCGTGGCTTGCTTCAACTTTGTACTTGGAACCCCCGCCGGATGTACCAGATATGCACATGGCCCCATCCGCCCATGCTTGCCCGGGGACCGGATGACGCAATGTTTGGATTTCGTTGCGCCAGACCCCAACCTGGAGTTGCACACTCTGGGGGGTTATGGACTCTTGATACCAGTGGACGAGCGGTACAACAAAAGTTTTTGAAAAATAGAATGCCAATACTAAAAAAAAAAAAAAAAAAACGATCGAGTGCAAAATTTCGAATACTCGCTCGTTTGAAATTTTCGAACGAATACTCGAATATTCGAACTAATCGTTTCACCCCTAACAGCCGCAGATCTATCGATTGTCTTCTCCTCACAACTGCACCCCCCCCCCCCCCACACACACACACTGCATAGGCAGTGTACACTGTACTACCAGATTGTGCGAGCAGAAAGTGAGCAGAGGCGGATCCAGCGATCTCTACAGGGGGGGTCCAGTTTAGTCAAAAATGAATAGCGGATACATGTACATCCACATACGTACAACCTCCAGTATCACATTTACAATATTTAGGGGGTTCCCCGGAACCCCTGGAACCCCTCCTGGATCCGCCACTGGTGAGTGATTTATGGTGAGTGGATCATACCGGCTTGACGATCCACTTCTGCTTGCCAGAGTCATCCCACTGCTGGCGAAGGTGAACTGTGTCTCGTGGCAGGATGAACGTTTGCGGAAAGAAATCAAAGTTCTAGAAAGCAAGCAGGAAACACACAGCAATGTACATGGATCCCTTGCACAGAGGATAAGAACGTATTACGACTGACAGCAACACCCGTGGACCACTTGGACTGAGTACAAGAACACCTTGCGACACTCAGCACTTCTTTATCTGCAGGGGCGTTGGAAGGTGTCCTTAGGTGGTGCGGTCAACCATCGGAGGTGGACCTTCGCAGGAGGGTTCTTCCTTTCTGAAAATTTGTGCAGTTGTAACTAGTTATATGGAAATGAGTCATTTAGACATGGTACAAGCCCTCACGCACACCCACACATATACATCCACCCACATGTACACTCGCACGTGCACACACACACACGCACCCCCCCCCCACACACACCGGCAAACACACACATATATACACACACGTACACACACACATGCCAAACCTTTACGCACCTTCTTGCCAAATCTCAACTGCATGTGCAGTAATCGCGTCCACAGGTAGTCTTTGCGTCCAATGCAGAATGTTCCCGGGAAGTGATTCGTCTGCACACAAGGTAGACAGACAGACACCCGATTCATGACATTTTAATGAAAAAAATTCGACGGGTTCGCGTACCGGGCAGGTCAAGAACAAGGAGTCGTACAACTCCCTGGTCAAGAATCACCTTTCCACTTCCGCGGGACATGACATTTTTAGCTCAACAGAATCTCATGGTGCTGGTGTTGGAAAGTTGGGCCAAGATATTACATCTACTGCTGATGTACAGTAAAACCTGTGACTAAAGACCACCCCCAGTTGGGGCCGGAGAACACGGTCTCTAGTGGCAGGTGGTCCTTAGTTAGAGGTTTGCACCGCACAGCCACATACAGTAAAACCTGTGACTAATGACCACCCCTTGGGGGCCAGAGAAAGCGGTCTTTAGTGGCAGGTGGTCCTTAGTTGGAGGTTTGCACCGCACGACCATATCTATATGAATGTGAGACCGTCCGTGCCTGGCGAAGTGGCCTGTAGTACCAGGCTGGTCGCTAGTCACGGTGGTCTGTAGTACCAGGCTGGTCGCTAGTCACGGTGGTCTGTAGTACCAGGCTGGTCGCTAGTCACGGTGGTCTGTAGTGCCAGGCTGGTCGCTAGTCACGGTGGTCTCTAGTGCCAGGCTGGTCGCTAGTCACGGTGGTCTGTAGTACCAGGCTGGTCGCTAGTCACGGTGGTCTGTAGCACCAGGCTGGTCGCTAGTCACGGTGGTCTGTAGTACCAGGCTGGTCGCTAGTCACGGTGGTCTGTAGCACCAGGCTGGTCGCTAGTCACGGTGGTCTGTAGCACCAGGCTGGTCGCTAGTCACGGTGGTCTGTAGCACCAGGCTGGTCGCTAGTCACGGTGGTCTGTAGTGCCAGGCTGGTCGCTAGTCACGGTGGTCTGTAGTACCAGGCTGGTCGCTAGTCACGGTGGTCTGTAGTGCCAGGCTGGTCGCTAGTCACGGTGGTCTCTAGTGCCAGGCTGGTCGCTAGTCACGGTGGTCTGTAGTACCAGGCTGGTCGCTAGTCACGGTGGTCTGTAGCACCAGGCTGGTCGCTAGTCACGGTGGTCTGTAGTACCAGGCTGGTCGCTAGTCACGGTGGTCTGTAGCACCAGGCTGGTCGCTAGTCACGGTGGTCTGTAGCACCAGGCTGGTCGCTAGTCACGGTGGTCTGTAGCACCAGGCTGGTCGCTAGTCACGGTGGTCTGTAGTGCCAGGCTGGTCGCTAGTCACGGTGGTCTGTAGTGCCAGGCTGGTCGCTTGTCACGGTGGTCTGTAGTGCCAGGCTGGTCGCTAGTCACGGGGGTCTTTAGTTACAGGTTTTACTCCTGCGGCCAAGCATCGACCTACACACGTGCCACGTCTAATCCAGTAACAGGCGATTCAGACTACGGCCAAAATCACGTCTGTCGTGGAATGTGACAACCATGAAACAAAGACAGTTTATAGAAGGCCAATGCAGCAAAAACCTAGTACAGTAAGGGGTCGTCGCAAAAGTTTTCTGTCGTCCCTGAAACGAACATCGTTCATTTCGTACTTGGACCCCCTCCCCTCCCTCTGAAACGAACACAGCTTGCTATGCTGGACGACGAAAATCGCATGCATGTACATGTCATATGCACAGTGTCGGTCGACTTGCGATTTTGGCTCGCACCCCCTCCCCCCCAAACGAATCATGTTCGTTTCAGGGACGACAAAAAACTTTTGCGACGACCCCTAACAGTTGATAGAAGGGCTAGGCAATATAGCACCAAATCAATGACAGTTGACAGAAGGGCAATGTGATGAACAACAAACAAACGACAGTTCATAGAAGGGCAATGTGATGAACATCATCCGGTACCACAATGGCGTGCACTGACCTTCTGGTGATCATGCAGTCTGCGAAACGCCATCGTCTTGATGTGACCTCCCCAGAAGCCAAGCCAGTCGGCATTTTCTGCACACCCAAAAAGGCAAAGAAACGTTTACTCCGGCCGGCCTCATGCTGCCTTCATGTTCACAATACAAATCTTCGGGCAACAATGATCCACAGTTTTGTCGTGTACCAGTACTGCTGCAACCTCTACACCCCCCCCCCCCCCCACCCCGTGTCAACCTCTACCCCCCCCCCCCCATGTCAACCTCTACCCCCCCCCCCATGTCAACCTCTACCCCCCCCCCCCATGTCAACCTCTACCCCCCCCCCCATGTCAACCTCTACCCCCACCCCCTACCCCATGTCAACCTCTACCCCCCCCCCCCCCATGTCATTGAGCACTCTCAACACTATAATATTATAGGAAGTTATCAGGAACTGTAGTGGGCATTGAAATCCGTTGAGCAGTCATGCGTCCACCGGGTGCTGGCCTAGCTGTGTTGCAGCCATGAGCCGCACTGCTGCTGACCTAGCTGTGTTGCAGCCAAGAGCACTGCTGCTGGTCCATTCACAAGGTGTGACGTGGACTACAGTGGATGTACGCGCTAAACTGAGTAGTAAGGGTGTCTCTTTTTTATTTCTACACACCCTTATTCCACCTCCCACACAGTACAGTCTGAACGCAGCGGGGAGTCGAATACGACTCCCTGCATTTATTCTGAAATATGAAGCTGGCCACGACGAGGGTTTCCCCTCAGTTCTTGGTTAGTCCAGAAGGAGTGAGTTTGATTTGTTGTGTCGACTGGAGCTGCTAGTATGCTTACTGTTGCAGTGTCAACCCCGGTCATTCCAGCGGATTTCAATATCCATAGCAGCACACTATTCTGCGTAGCTGAATGGCATACGTCATACCGTTGCCAACCATCCCGATTTGGCCGGGACCGTCCCGATATCACAGGGTGGTGATAGGCACCCAAAAGTGCATTTGTCGTATGCTTCACAGCTACCTTTGTATACATTTCATACCTAGGACTCAGGCGCGTGCACCGCGTGGTTTTCTTGGAGCCCGGAAACCACCTTTTTTTTTGCGGCCAGCGAACATGCGGTGCGCGTGCACTGTCACAGTGCAGTGTGTGTGGATGCACTTTTCGTGTAAAAGGCCAGGGAACGTGTAGTGCACGTGCCCACCGCTACTGCTGAGTACAGTGTACAATACAGTGGAGATAGGATATAACGACCTTGCATATAACGACAGATTGAGTTTAGCGACACAATTCTGTTGCCCAAGTCGTTTAGTAAGTCCTTTGCGAAGATCGGGTTTAGTGACAGATCGAATATAGTGACATTTTGTTCTCTCCCGAAGGAGTGTCGTTATATCCAATCTCAACTGTAATACTTAAACATGTACAGTAGTCCTGTCCGGAGCTTCCAATCCGGGTGGGTAGATCTACACGTACACGTACAAGTGAAGGTCACTGCATGCACTGGTAGATCTACACGTACACGTACAAGTGAAGGCCACTGCATGCACTGGTAGATCTACATGGTGTAATAAGTACCGTAAAGTCGCGGATAAAAGCCGGGCTTATAAGCACATAAGCCGCTTTCTGCATCAGGCTTCAATGCAAACCAGGCTTGTATGCAAGCCATGCTTATATGCACCACTGATATTTTTTGCCAGGCTTGTATGCACATCGGCCGATCCGGGCTTGCTTAGAAGCCAGGCTTCTAGTCTACGCGCGACACGCGTACATCTACCACTGACTACCGGTATGGCGGCAGTTTTACTATGCACTGTACATAGCGCATGCACTCTTGACCTACCCGATCCGCGCTTGCATAGAAGCCAGGCTTCTACGCGCGACAGGCTTATAATATTTGACCCGTTTGATTTTCAGGCTTCTATCCGCGATGTGCTTGTATGCAAACCCGGCTTTTATCCGCGACTTTACGGTACTATCAAGTATCATCAAGAGTAGATAAACAAGAGTGTGCAACTCGCGGATGGGTAGGCCCACAGCGGAATTTTTTGTTGATGTAATCTTTTCGACGACGCACGCGCTGCGAGTCTTTCGGAAAGTTTTCCCTCGTGCTCTTGGCCGGGCGTTACACTACAAGGTCGGTGTCCAGCACGTGCTCTCACACTGCTCTGCGGCAAAATGCGCGTTCTTCTGAAAAAGGTGACGTCAACAAAAAATTCCGCCGTGGGCGGGGGTATCTGCAGATTGTGCAGGAGAGATCCGGAGTTGCACACTCTTGTTTATCTACTCTTGGTATCATGCATGCGCTG